TCCTTCCACCATCGCAGATCCTCTGCATCCTAATCCAGGCTTTCTGCTGTAAATTCACATGGCTTTAAAGGCCAAGGTCATCTTATCTGGGCTAAAAAAGCACTGTGGGTTTCTAGCTCTGCAGGAAATGTTTAATTATTGTTCTTTTGTGAAGTGAAAAATAAGCAAAGCGATGACATTCCTCCCCCTAAGCAGCTGAGCATCAACAGCCAGTGAACTGCTCAAATATCCCTCTGGGGGAGTTGTTAAAATCCACTTGCTGCCTCTAAAATCCTCAAATCCAAACCCTGCTTCAGTGCAGGACTGAGACATCTCTCTAAACAAAGACTCTAGTCTCTTAAAAACCCTTTGTGATATATTTCTTCTCTGAAACAGATGAAAATGTTATTTCTGGCAATGCAAACCACCAGAGGGGAGCACACTCTGTGTCAGTCCAGCTGCCACCCTAATACCTGTGACACTGGGAATGGAGGGGACTCTGGGCTTGGCTGGCAACAACAGGTCACCTGGTGGGTCCTTTCTGTCTCTGCTGCCACAGAGAAATCAGAGAAAAAGGAGGGCTGACAACTCTGCCAGTCCTTCCCCTGCCCCACATAATAGGATCTGCAAAGCAAAAATAAGGTCAGACACTTTCAAATTGCTGCAACAGGAGAGCTGGGAGATCATTTTATATCTAGTTCTGCAAAAGGCTAAAAATAAGCCTGATGTGAGGCAGAAGAAAGAGCCTGAAAATGGATTATTCTCATTTTTCCTGTAATGCAATTTGCAGCTGTGCTGTGTTTAAGACAGCAGAAGAGGTGTCTGGACTAGGGATGGTTCTTTTTGTGGCTTGTGCTCTCTCTCCTCTGTAAAGAATATTTTCCTCCTAGTGTTTGTAGCCACCACGTTTAAAATGAACCATCCATCAGCACTGCTGCCCAGCAAGAGCTGCCACACCTGATCCAAGGCATTAAGAGTAAAACTGTTTTCTTATTAAACATTTAATTTTAATTTTACGAGAAAAGAAAAACCTGCTGGAGCTGCTTAAATAACCTGATTCTTGTCATGTAAACAAATGGGTGAAGGATTCAGGCTTGCAGGGCTCTCAGGTGCTGAGTGGTCGATGGTTTAAGACTGTAAATTCCTCTGTCCTGACCAGCTGCATCGGTGCAGTTGTTTATCCCTGCTCTGGCAGGGACACACACTGCAGTTGCATCCTGCTGCCTGATCTGCATTGCTGTATCCTCAGAGAAGACACCCAGGATTGCAGAGAGGGACTGAGCAATTAGCAAACCTGGACATCCATCCAGAGCATCTTTTCGTACCTCTGGAAAAACACCCAGAAAAATCTCGTGTTTCCGGGTATAAAACCAGGGATTAAGTAAAAAAATATTTAAAATAATAAAAAAAAATAAATTTAAAAATCCTCAGGGGAGTAGATTATGCTGCACCTGCACGAGGTGTTTCTCAGGAAGAATCCAGGTGAGCTTGGTTTTCCTCAGGAGCAGCTGGAATGAGCTGTGGTTGGGGACAGGATCCCTGGCCAGCACAGCTCCTGGGGTGAACACTCACTGCCAGGAAAGGATCCTGACACACACCAATTACAGTGATTTATATCCCTGGCACCAGAAGTTGTCACAGCTTGGGAAAAGGACTTTTTAAAATTCCTTTTCATAACAAAAGGAGCACATTGTTCCCTGTCACTGGTGAAGCTCCCAGGAAGTCCCAGTGTGGGCATTTCTCCTGCAGCTCTCCAAGGTGTAGCTCTGGTTTTCCCAGTTGTCTGCACTGTGAGTGAGGAAGGGGACACACACAAACCACAGACACAATTCTCAGCAGTGCTGAGCTCCTAATTCCACTGAATGAAGCACCTGGAGTGCTCCCAGCCTTGGAAGCTGCTCTGTGCCAGGGCTGAACAGGCACCTGTGCTGGAGCTCAGGGATAAAAGCGCAGTTACCAGATTTCTGATCCATTTCTGAGGGCTCTGCCACGGCAAGACTGGACATATCATCTTCCTAAAATCTACCTTGGGCCTCACCAATTTTCCTTAAGCAAGTAAGAAAAATCCAGTACAGAGCGCAGTCATGTTTGGAAATAAAATACAACTGCTTTAACCCTCCTCTGCAGAGGTACAGAACGGGCAAGGAACGAGTCAAGTGAAATCACAGCAGGAATTGTATTTGAGTGGTTTGAAAAAAGAATTGAAGTATTTATCACTACTAGTGCCTAAGAGCTCTTACAGAACCCATTCTTAACAGTTTTCCCTCTCTTATCACTTTGGAAGGGTGGGATTAAATTTGTGTTATAAAAAATGCCCCCGAAATGATTGGATTAAAGCACAGTGATGTACTCTGTCCTGTTCTCTGCTAGTCCTACATTTACTAAAAGCCTCTTTAAGCTGTCAGACTTCTGAAGCAGCATGACAATAGTTATAAAAGAATTGTGTTAAAAAAAAAAGGGACTTGCTGTAGAAAGCAATTTTTTTTATGAGTGTTTTTGTGAGAGGGGCAGCCTTGTTGACTGGAATTCCTGTGCTAAAAAAGTCATCTACAAAATATGCCAGGAATTGTGGCAATGATAAAAGTAGTGTGAAAGCCTGGAAATTCTGTTTTTGAAAGGAAGTGTGGTGGAAGCTGGAGGAAGCTTTACAGGAAAGAGAGGTTGCTATCCTGGTATCTGCCCTGCCCGGAAGGAGAAATTATCTCTAAGCAAATGCCCGGAGACCGTTACACAAAGGAACAAACAAACACAGAAATCCCAGCAATAAAACCCTGAACCGGTTTTCACAGAAGTGTGAAAATGAAAGCCGGGAAAAAGCTCAGTTTCCAGAGGCTGCAGAGAGCAGTGTTCCAGTTCTCTGCCCCCACATCAGCTCGTTAGGGAGGTCGGTGACACTGCCCCGCGTGCCCCGACCCCGGGGGTGATGGATGGGTTTAATCTCCGGCGCCCGCGATTCCCGCAGGTTAATTGATTTCTTTTGGCAAAGCACCTTTCCAAGACCCGGTGTCTGAGCAGCAGGACTGGCTAGAGAGGGAAAACAAGGCATCTTGAAATAGAAATTCCTCTGTACCCAGCAAGTAATAGGTAGGATAGAGGGGAGGGCTGGCAGGAAGGTGTGCGATGCCAAGGGCAGATGGCCTGGCAGGGAGGTGGGAGCTGGACGGCGGATTTGGGGTCCAGCACGGAGCTTTCAGCTGCTGACAGCAAAATGCTCTGTTGTCTTTCCTCTCCCATGCAAGCATGGAGCTACCAATAAATAAATCCTGCCCCATAAACACTGAGGAGAACACTGAACCTGTTGGCAATGGCAGCCAGGACCCGGTCCAGCACCGACCCCGCTGCAGGTGAGTCCCCCCACAGCTTCCAGCCTTACTACAGATACTGCCTGACTTCTCAGGAACTTGAATGAAGCTGCTCTTTCCAGGAATCTCTCTGCAGGATGCCAGGGTATTTTTAACATGGGAGTGGGCACATCCCCAGAAACAGTGCACTAGGAGTCATTTGAGGGAAATTATCTCGTTAACCATTATTTATGACAGTTGTTCTCCCCGGTTTGTAGCATGTAAGATCTGTAGCTGAATAATACAAAATTCATAAACAAATGTGAGTCAGACTGATAAGGAAAGGGAAAGATGCTGAAGGAGAGAGAGCAACAAAGCCAGGTCTGACACCTGCACGTGTTTCTTCAGAGAGTGGAGCAGTGGCTTTTTGGGAGGTTGGTGGGCTCTGGACATGAACGGAGCACAACCAGAGCTGCTCAGGGTAGACAGCAACAGAGAAACAAACCCTTCTGTGCAGGAGCAAGCAGAGCTGTGGGGTGTGATCTCTCTCCCAACAGTAACACTGCTGCAAAGTTGGGGTTTTGGTAAAACACTTCAGTAAGACACACCAGCACTGGCACCCTGTGAGTGACCAGCCTGTGACCTGCGGTGCCTCCTGAGCAAGACAAAGCTCTCTTCCTTGAGAACTCCATTGGAGTGAGACCAGCTGGCTACCACAGTGCCTTGGCCAGCATAAAGGTCCAAGTGGGCTTGATATGCTGATATAAAGATGGGAGTGACGTGGAATTCATCAGCACCTGAAATCCTGAGCCCCTCCTTCACCACCTGAGGTGCCGTTCGTGCCAAGGGACACGGATCTCCACCACAGTTAAAGGTGGAACGAGCACTCTCCTCTCTGAACACAGTAAAGACAAACACTGAAGCTTTCCTAGGACCAGGTAAGCACCCAGAAACTTATGTTCATCCTGCCTGGACTCGCGTGTGCACAAGCACAGGAACAGGGAGGCAGATGGAGAGTCTTCCCATCTTCCCGCCTCATGCCAAGCCAGGAAGGCCTTCAGAAACATGGGACAGCTTTCATGTCTTCTCCAAAGATTCTGCTGTAACATTTACCTCTTTTTTTCTCTTAGGAAGTCCTTCCTAACATCTCATCTCCAATTTCCCTTCCTGCCATTTAAAGCCCTTTCTCTGCAGATAACAAACCAGGCGCACACACACGTCACGTCCCCAAAGCCACACTGAGGTTCAGCTCTGCAGGACTTCACCTCCTTACCAGGTGAGGTCTTGTTTTTCCACAATATTTAAACATCTCATTATAGGGGAATGTATATTTTTAAAGGCACCAGGAGGCAGAAAACTTCTCCTTTCTCTGGGGTTTATGTGTGATAGTAAAAGGAAGGTGGAACTGCTCTTACAGGGCCACAGCACCATCTGTGGCACTGCTTCCAAATCCCTTGCATCCATCTGATATGAAAGTGTGAGCCAGAAAGCATCACCCAAACTGTTCACACACTTACGTCAACCTCCAAACACCTTATTTTGCTCCTAGTTGTACTATGCCTAGAAAGAGTGACATTGCAGGGCCCCTCTCCTTAAGGTACACCAAGGCTCCCGTTCTCCAGCGGGGGAAAGAAAAAGGCAACTCACAGTCAACAGCAGACTAGTCACCTACCCACATATTCAGCATGACATTGCACACAGTAATTCTTATTTTTTGACAATTATGAGAAAGAGACTAACCCCAGAAGTTTGTATGTCATGTGGAAGCGTCTTCTGAATTACTGTAGTTGCCAACCGTGAGTTGATCCGAATCGGTTTCTTTACTGAAAAACAGTAGCTTTTTTTTTACAGGCTGCAGGGAGGGACTGGGAAAGCCTCTTTTGTCACAGCGCCCCTCGAGCACGCAGGACCCCACACACAGCTTTGCTCCCTCCTGGCCTCACGTTCCTGTCTACTGGAGGTGGAGAGCAGGGCACTGGGCACTGAGACGCGGGAGCCACGTTGACCACCGAGCTCTGTGAAGCATCTCCTGCTCCTCACCTCGCAGTCCAACGGTTCCAGCACAGCAGCCCCTCACCACGGGTGGCCTGGGCTGTGACATGCTCAGGCAAGGGTGAAAAGGGGCCTGTGCCCCCCAGTACTGTGCTCCCCTCCAGGCCACACGGCCAACCTCTGAGATCCACCAGAGCAGAAGCGTGTAAAGGATGCCCAGCCAGCACGACCCAAGCCCCTGTGCTTCGTGCAGCCTCATGCACTCTGCTGAGCCCAGGTTCTCCACACAGCCCCACATCCTTTACCTGGAAGGACCAAGGCCAGGGAAAGAGTACAAGCACAACGTTCAGGAGAGAAAACAGGCTGTGGTAGCTCCCCATGTGCAATGGTCAGGTTACTCACTGTTGTTCAGCTTTGGCTCGGTCACTGAGGAAGAACAGGGCTGTGGCCAGGAAGAACATCCCTCCCAGGACAACGACGAAGGGGCAGAGCATGAGGGCGTAACCCAGGCTGAGGAACTCCCACACCGGGGACTCCTTTGTGCTTTGTCGTATCAGGTCTGAGATCTAGGAGAGAGGGGCACGAAAATGAGTCACTCTGATGAAAAAGAGACGTGGTGACAGCGGAGGGAACACGGTGCCCCGAACAACCGCCCACCGAGCACGTGCCTGAGGTTTGGAAGGGAACAGTGTGTTCAGCAAGAGCTCAGCGTCCCCTGCCCACTCCAGCCTTCCACGCTGGAGCCTGGGCAGCTCGTGCTGGGAGCAGCTTGGCAGGGGTTCTGCTCTCCCTGGCGCTCTTCTGGCCTGATCCATTATTCTCCCCACAGCCCTCTCATGCTCTCCTGGCTGCAGCAGTGGCTGCATCCGGGGGTGTCCAGCCTTGGCCGAGCCCCCCGGGATTGCCGGCAGGGCCACACTGGCACTGAGGGAGTGATCAGTCTTCTGCAACTCCTATCAAGTCCTGCTCACTCCCACACCTGACATACCTTTGGGCAAGAGGAGGTATTAAATTGCATTTCTGTGTACTGAGTGGGAAGGGGGAAATGTTTCCCACGGAACAAAAAAATGGAGATCCCATTCGATTTGCAGAAACAGAACTTGAACGTGGGGTTTTGTGCCCGTGTCTGGGGTGTGGGGCTCATTCCCTCTTCCAGCCTCCCAAGCTTGAAGCGTCAGTGTGTGCAAGATGTGGCTCTGCCCCAGGCTCAGACACAGGGGCTCACTCACACCAAAGAACCACACACCACCAGATTTATGAGCTAAGGCAACCTGCCCCTTCCAACAGCCAAAAAGCATAACTACTTGGAAGTGAACACAAATTTGCACCTACACAAAGGAGCTGTGACATGCAATGGCATTATTTACTTCATTATGAAATGCTTTTGCTAAAACACAGCAAAATTTAATGCCTATCTGTAGCTAAAACTATCACATTTTAATATTTACTGTCCAGCAAACAACTTTACTCTCCATAAATCCCACAGGGTGGTAGCAGCAGCTGGGGTGGGTCTCAGAGGCATTGGGATTTAAATGTCCAGCTCTGTTTTTATCTGTGACCTTTTGTGAAGGCAGAAACACCAGTTTATACCAAAAGACTGCAGGGAATTTGCAACATAAAATCCTACTGCTGTGCACACGCAAATCAGCTCCAGAAATAGTCAAAGCTTGTGCAGCAACTTCCAAACTGCCACATTACCAGTGATGGAAAAGGTGGAGCCAGAAACAACCTACGAGCAAGTTCTGACATTCAAGGCTTAAATCTTGACAGTCAAGTGAGGAAATGTCACATGCAGGAGAAATCACCAACTCACAGCCCTGCAGCGACCTGGAAGGTAAATGTGTGTGGGGAGAAGCCTCAGCACAGGCCAAGCACAACAGAAGGTCACAGAAGGATGATGCTCATGGGGACTCAGACAGGTCACTGAGTGTGTTTTAGCAGGGAGACTCTGGAGCACTGGTGGTCTCTGGATCAACACCAGAGCTCCTTACAGCTCCTCCTGGCTCCCACTGGAGGGATGGAAAGGAGGAGCAGCCTGATGCTGCAGGTGACAGCACTGGAACACGGCTAAGGAAGAGTTCCTGTCCTCTCAAAGAGAACTTTATTCACAGTGTAAAACACACAAAGGAAAACAAGGGTGTTACAAACAAGTCTCATGTGAGAAATGATGGTTACAGCGCCCTTAGACTGAAGCCAAGCAACAGTGGCCATTAGTCTGAGAGATTTATTAAAAATCAGCAACAGGACTTGAGTGTGAAAAGAAAGCACCCACAGGAAAGTAGCAGAATGTGCTCTGCACCCAGGGGACAGGGACATCAGCTGGCCATTAATTCCCTTTTGTATCCAGACACCTTAATTCCCAGCATTTCCCTTACTCTTCATTATGAACCAGAATTTGGCACCGAGTCAGCCTCTCTGTCAGGCTGCAATAGCCAGAATCGAGGCTATTCTAAGAAATCTAGACATTCTAAACCACTTTTCATTTTTGGGAATGGATATAATTATTCTCCAAAAGGACCAGACAATAAATCACTTGACAAATTGACATGATAAATCAGCAGCAGAGGATGAAAAACCAGGCATGTGCTCCTGCTTGCTTTCTCTTATGGATGACACAGCATTCTAGGCTAAAACCAGCTTTGAAAATGTAAAGTCTCCAACAAGTAAAACTCCCAATGCAGCTTGTCCCATACTTCTCCTTCTAACACATTATGTTGACCTTCTGTACCAACAAATCATGTTAATATTAAACCTGCTGTACTTTTCATTTTTAACCCAACACATCCTGTAAGTGCACAGTTTAGGAAATGCCGTGTTCCCTCCCATCTAAGGGATAATTCTTCCCATCAGGCCAGCTGGGCTTTCTTATGCAGGTTCCACATAATCCCCTCACCCATGCCTGCAACTCTAGAACTTTACCAGGGCCCAAAAAGATGTTTTTGCTGTAAAGAGTCACTGCTCCCTGTTGTTTTGTTCCACTCAGTTACAAGCCACCTGCTAAGGCTGGAACTTTGGCATCTCCTCTCGAGAGGGCACAGGACATAATTACAGACTTGGGCTCCAAGAATGACACACTGTTTGCCAAATGGTCTGCTCTGTATTGCCAATTTTGGGCTTTCCAGACTCCTCACCATGACAGCATCCCGAGCTGTCCAAGTGTGATTTGGCAAGACCCAAATGGAGCCTCGTTTTTGGTGCCTTCTCTCCAGCATGAGTAACAGACCGCAGGGGTTGGGGCAGGGTCGGTGCCAGAGCTGCAGCTTGGAGTCATGTGTGGGATTCCTTCCTTTCTTCTGCCAGTTGGGGGGTGGCAAAAGCTTCAGAACATTTACCCAAAGTGCAGGGGGGGAAATCAAGCAGGGGGAGTCCTGTTGCTGCTCTGCAGTCTGACACAGGGCTTTGGTGCCAACCTAAGGATGAAAGCTCCCGTCTCCTCCCTCGCCCTGCAGATCTCAGACCAAGAGGAATGACTTTGCCAAATGAACTTCAGCTCGTGGCATTCCTGCAGCAGCACAGGGGTGGTGTGTGCCCAGCCAGCTGGATGGAGTCCAGCTGGACAAAGTGCCCCCTTCCCGGAGAAGGGACAGCGCAGCCGCAACGGGCACGATCCCAACCCTAAACCCCTGGCTGTGCCTCCATCCGAGGGCAGAAGACAATGCAGGAACAAAGGGAAACTTCACTACTTCCTTGGGAAGCACGTGGGGTGTGTTTTGGAACACGGGACAGGCCGTGGATGCAGTAGAAGCCGAGGTGGGCTGAGCCCAGGGAAGGCGTTCGGCCTCTGTTCTGTCCCTCCTGAACAGGGTGGGGAAATGAACCGATTTATTAATTAGAACTGATTTATTAATTAGATGGTGGAATGGTAGCAACATCTCTGCAATCACCATTTCCTTCCCTCCCATTACCAAGCCAATATTTCAACTCCTCTGTAATTGCTTGATTTTTCTGACATTGCCACTTGGGCACAAATCCTGCTACATAAAAGGCTATTTCTGGCACAAATACCTGATTTTCATGATTACCAGTTTGATACAAGCCAGGTTCTCCCTGGCTGCTCTCTTCAGTACAGTTCCTTAACACAGTATTCCCTGTAGCCCCACAGTATCACCACAATGGCTTGGGGTGCACCCACTCCCAAGTCAGAGATGCAGGTGAAAGGTTTCTTTGACTTTTTTTTTTAAATCTAATATGAATGCAAATGAAGATGAGAAAGCAAAAATAAGGGATTTTATAAAGTAAACAATTTGCTGGGCCTGTGGGGGAGCACAAGCATTTATACTGTGCTAAATGGCACGAGAAACACTTTATAATAAGAGGAAGTAAACCTGATTTTTTTAATGATATTTGTTCAGACATCTACAGAAAGGTAAAAGCAATTATGGTCTAAAAGTTATTTCAGTTTTAACCTTGGCATGTTTAGATGTTGAAGCGAAAAAAAGGCAAAAAAATTCTGTTAATCTGAATTGCATCCTTTTGAGATTGCAAACAGATTTCATACTCGGCCGGTGACAATATCAATATCCTGCATTAATATGTGGCACCCCAGTTTGCCCCAGAAATACCCACAGCAAGGATCTCTGCACTGCTTCCCCCATGGCAGGTTCCTGTGGTTATGCCCTTGTTGCCTTCTCAGGATGACCAGGCTGCATGGAATAGGTGCTGAAAAAGCAGAAGTGCAAAGGCTGCAGCAGATGCAGATCCTCCATCAGGGGTTCTGCTGCGATGCCAACACGTGGACTTGGTACATCTGGGGGGCAGGGCAACATCTGCCTCCTCTCCAACCCTCTGGAGAGGGTTGCAAATCTATTTTCTTTGTGTCTTTCACTGCCTTTCTCTCCAGGTCTGGTCTGCCCAGGGGTTTTCTAAGTTAACACTGGGCTTCCTCCTGTCCCAGCGGGAGATGCCTCACCCCAGGGGAATGTGGAGGAACTCACATCTGTAGGGATGGGGGTGCCCAAGCCCACAAAGAAATAGGTTTGTGGCACAGGACCATGATTTGGGAGCACCTCCTTTAGCAGCATCCCTGTCCCCCACCTCTCCCTGCAGCACGGGCCCCTTCCCTGGCTGTGTGTCCCAGGAGAAGGAAGGAATTCCCTGTGCTGCAGAACTGGGACGCCTCGTTCTGAAAGGTGCTCAGCACCATGAAAACTGTCCCTGCTGGGAGCACACAGGGTCCCTGGCAGCTCAGAGGAACAAACCACTTATTTAATGAGGTTTTTAGTGCACAGGAGGAGTGACAGAGCAGACGGGACAGAACCTGAAATACTCGAGTGCAACAACGACCCGCTCTGGATTTCTGGGCTTCTCTCTGATGAGAGACTTTCACATGCACTGAACATTTATCAGAAATACTGAGAACCTGCACATCTAACCAAAGTCATGGACGTGAGAGGTGCACAGAGCTCTGGAAAAACACCAGAGCAGGCTGTGAACCCTTGGCAAAGAGCGTTTTATAGATGGGAAGTCATTTGGGATTTTAGGGCAGACTTAAATCTTTTCTGTTGCTGAGTCATCAGAAGTGGGAAGCTTGTTAGCTCGTTGCAATGAGAAGATAAATCCCATGAGG